GGATTCTAATGTAATCAAATAAAATTGTGTTTTGATTATGGCTTTAGATTTAACATAGCAATATATTTGAGGAAACTGCCAGTTGTCAGTGGCATGAAGTATCAAGAAAGAATTTTCACAAATACTTGAAAGACTACTAAAATAATATTCTCATTTCCAATCACATATTTGGGTGTATCCAGCCTTTCTTCATACCCTTCAGATAAAATAGTATAGTATAACAGATTGAATACAAAAGCAGATATTAGATTCCCGGTGTCTTTTATTAAGTCAGAAACTATATATGCAAAAATGTATGTTTTCTTATTTTTGGAAAACAGTTATATTTCATTAAAAGGTTCTCTTAACATGTAACAGGTGTTACTTTATTTTTTTTAAGATTTATTTGTTTATACAAGCACTGGGGTTCAGGCCAGAGGCGCGGGAGGATGAGAGAATCCACCAGAGACAGAGTGGGGAGCAGAACAGGCAGAAGGACCAAAATACACTACTGCGGGGAGCAGCGGCAAGACAGGAGAGGTCTGCTGTGCCATGTGGAAATCTCCCTGGCCGGCCAGGAATCGAACTGGCGTCTTGAAGTCTGCGGACAGCCTCACAGCGCTGCGCTCAACCCGCTGTGCCCCCAGGGAGGCCCAACAGGTGTTACTTTTAAAGTGGAATTATAATTTTTTTATTTCTCAGTTTTAATTTCTAATACAATAAACTGATACATTAAACCCACATTAACAGGGGCCTCCCTGGTGGTGCAAGGGGTTAAGACTCAACCTAGGCCTCCCCTGGTGGCACAGGTGGTTGAGCGCCATGCTATGAAGCTTTCCGCAGCCTCTACAGTGCTGATTCCATCCTGGCCGGCTGGTGAGGGTCCCACATGGTGTGGCAGACCTCTCCTGACTCACCCACTGCTCCCCTCAGCAGTGTATTTCAGTCAGTCTGCCTGTTCTGTTCCCCACATTGTCTCTGGTGAATCCTCTCACCACCCCCACACCTCTGGCCTTTACCCCAGTTCTTGTATGCATAAATAAATAAATCTTTTTTAAAAAACCCACATTAACAAAAGCTCTTTAGGAGCCTTCATAATTTTTAAGAGTGAAGAGAGGTCCCAAGACCAAAGTTTCAGATGACCACTCTAAAATTTTATTCAAACAAGTGACAACAAAGAGGAATTTATTGGTCTTTTGGGTACCAGACTGGAGGAAACTAACAGCCAGAGGACAACAAAATGTCCCTTTATGCCTGGCAGGAACCCGGTGTCAACACCATAGGAGATTTGCTGTAATAGCAGGTGAGGAGCCCTGCGACTGGCTCTGTTTGTGTCACTGTTTGGCCTAAGGGTACTTCTGTCTGGGTCACTGTGCTCCATCTGCCTTTAACCAATTTGTTCTGATATGCTTTGCCTCAGCAAATGAAATGTTTGTCATGTCACTAATGGGAAAACAAATAGAGATGGCCAGCAAGTCCCCAGTGTTGGGCCAGCTGTCATCTACTGCCGCTACAAGTTCCCAAAATCCCTGTGGCAAAGAGACAAGCCAATAGATGTTAGTCATTTATTATTATTATCATTATAGAGTTTGGGTCTCAGATAGTCTGGGACCCTGTCCCATGACCCTATCCCATGAGCTCTATGCTGCACCCCAGACTTGGTGAAAGCCCTCTTTTTGTTTGTCGGCCTAGAGGAATATCAAAGAGGTTTCTTTTACTTGCTAACTGCAGCTGGATTGTCATGGCTTCTGGAGCCCCCTTTTAAGGAGGAGTGAGGAAATAGTGCATTATTACTGACCACAGCCAAGGTCTCCCAACCAAAGTAAGCCCTTCACTGTCATCTCTCCCCTAAACCTATAAAGCCAGAACTCCTGGTGGAACTCCAAAACTGGAAATGGAAAAACATCGCATAACGAAGACCCTGGAGCCTCCTTAACCCCTGGAGCTCAGGGGTTAAAGTCTCAGCACTATCAAGCTATCAAGGTATCACCAGCCACTGCAACATGAGTTTGATTCCCAGCCAGGGAGCAACCCACATGGCGCAGCAGACCTCTCCTGTCTTGCCCACTGCTCCCCTCAGTGGTATATTTCAGTAGATCTGCCTGTTCTGCTCCCCACTCTGTCTCTGATGAATTCCTCTCACCCCTGCACCTCTGGCCTACATCCCAGCTCTTATATGCATAAATAAATAAAAATAAATCATTAAAAAAAAAGACCCAAAGATTTTATCCTAAAAAGTACAATGCTCCATATTTGATCATTGTCTGTGTATAACACATTCAACTAAGATCCAGGGATATTATGACAACCAAGATAGATGAAGTTTTGTCCCTCATCTTATAGAAGAAATAGATGCAAACACACATACACTCATGTCAGAAAATGTAGAAAATTAGTATTTGTGTTGGGTACTACAAAGAAAAAGGTGGTTTACTTGCTGTTGGTTGTGCTAGTATCTGTAAATGGATGAATGGTTGAGTTAAATTCCCCATGTGATATTGTTCTGGTCTCACACTGTTAAATGTTTAATGTTAGATAATGTGTAAATTCTGCTAGTGGATATCTCAATCTAAATCTATAATAATGGAACAAAGACTTTGAAGCGTGCAGGCATTCACATTTGTTTACAAATAGATATGCCAGACAATGGAAGGTTGCAGGCCAATGTCCAATGTGTTTTCATGCAATTTAGTTTCATGTGGCTATTAAAAGCTTGAAATGTAGCTAGTTTAAATTGAGATGTGCTATCAGTAGAAAATACACACCAGCTTCTGAATCTAAAATATCTCAATTTTCTATGTCAGTGAAATTAAATTTTGGTACAGTGGATTAAGTAAAATGTTAAAATTTTAAAAATACTGACAATCTACATAGAAATGAGAACTTTTAGTGTCTTAATTCCTCTCATTGCTGAAAATACCCCAAATTAATCAGACAACTAGCTATGATTTGACCATTGAGAGTGTTGTCATTGTGAGGAACCAGAAAGCATTGTATTTATCAGAATTCCCGTTCAGAAAAACACAACATTGTTGGGAAAGAATTCCTAATGAGCCCCCTTGAAGTAGTAGCTGAGACCCCCAGCCTGGGAGTTGACTGATCCCAAGGCCATAGAAGAAACTGCCCAAGGAACAAAGAAATAGCCTGAAAAGGGGAGAATGAATCCGTAATGCCAAATCTCTGTAAATGCCATAAAACTGAAGGACAAAACACCCAAGTTTGTTTTGAATGCATTCTTGAGGTTGATATGATATAAAAAGAAAGTGTGCAGACACAGGAGTTAAAAATGGGAATAACTATGGAGGGTCATGCCCTGGGGAATCTCAGAAATGGGCAGCAGCATTTGGAAGGATCACAAGTGATGGACTTGTGGGTCTGAGACAAATTCACTGGATATCTGGATGCCTAATATGCAGGAAGACCTCTGATATCTGAGTTCCTCTTCCTATGCAGGCTCAGAGGCAATGGTTTTATAATTTCATAGCATGTTTTTGATTCTCTGTCATGAGGTTACACATGAGCCTTTGGTCAGCTAATTATTATCCATCTCTTGTTCCTTTGAAGCTACTAAATCTTCCTCTGGATCTAGGAGTGTAATTCTTTTTATTATTGTAAGTATCACTGTATTTAGGGTCACAAGGACTTTGGTCTGGTCTTAGCTTTGCTGCTGACTACCCATGAGGCCATGGGCAGATTCTTATCTCTTCATAACTCAGCATTCTGATTTGTAAAATGAAGGAGGTGAGGAGGCAAAGGTTGAGTTAATTATCCCTTGGGTTCATTGCAAGTCAAAACTCAATGAGTCTTGCACATTAATCTTCATGCATGTTCATTTCTTCTACTATTGAAATAAAAGAATACTGTTTTAAAAAGAATATCACAGTATTTTAATAGTTTTGTTTAAATAGAAGTTATTTCCCCAGTGACAGTTTCTCAATTAAGAATACATACTAACCTAACATGCATTGGTACCCTTACAATAAGATTTATTTAAAAAAAAACTAAAAGGAATCAAAAAATGGGGTTAATGTATATTTTTTTAATTATCTAATTCTATCCACCCCTCATCTTACTGGTGTTCTCATAATTTTGTCTGTATCTGCTCTCATATTAGATTGTGAGATCATCAAGTTGGAACAAAATGCTACTCATCTCTGTAGTCTCCTAAAAACTAGAGACAGTGCCTTGTACAAAGTGAATATTTACTGTATTTGTTCAGTCAAGTTGAAATTTGCACTGAATCAAAATTTTTTAAAGATTCTTTTGTATTGTGATAGGTTTGGTTATACTGTGAATAAGTAATCCCCAAATCTCAGCGGCTTATTGCAATAGTGGGGTTTTTTCATTACTAAGGCAAGGTTAGCTATGGGATGGGGCAGGAGTAGGGAGTAGGTAATATTTCTGCTCCACACAGCCACTTAGGAACCCAGGCTGAGGAGAATCCTGCTTCTGACAGTTATACCATCTGGAACACATGGCATCTGTAGAGAAAGAGACAGAAAACTTTCTAAAGGGCCTTTTCCTGACTCTGTCCACATTTCATTGACCAAGACTAATAACAGACTACGATCCGACAAGAAAGGTTTGGGAGTAGTGTGGGCTCTTGTATCTTGAAGCAAGAAAAGTGCCACAACCTTGATAATCACTAATATGTCTACCACATGCTTTATCCAAATAGGGCTAATATTTTTGAGATGATGAACTCTTTTGTTATGATCCTTCTCCCCAGGAAAAAAAGTACATTTATGCAGAAAAACAATGTTTTGCATAACTTTCAGGACTTTCATGCATTTGTAAGTCCACTTACTGGTCTTCTACAGATTTTGGGGCCCGGGTTTGGCTGAATCCACAGTCATTATCAGCAATTGGCAACTGACTAACAAATGAAAAAAAAAAATTACATTAACAGTGTTCTGCTCAAATTTATGTTAAGAACAGCCTATTTACTTAGTTCTTTGGTTTTATCAGATCTGACATCATTGAAGGTGCATGACCAATGGATTTTTCTCTGTTTTTCTCAGGAAAAGTTTGAGGGGCTGTTCCGGACTTATGATGACTGTGTGACGTTCCAGCTATTTAAGAGTTTCAGACGTGTGCGAATAAACTTCAGCAATCCCAAATCTGCAGCTCGAGCCCGGATAGAGCTTCATGAAACCCAGTTCAGAGGGAAAAAATTAAAGCTCTACTTCGCACAGGTAAGGTAATTCTTTTCCAAAGTTAATGCCTTTGCCCTACATTAATTTTTGCCCTTTTAAAATGTAAATATAGGGCCTCCCCTGGTGGCGCAGTGGTTGAGCACTGGGCTGCAAAGCTGCCTGCAGCCTCTGCAGCGCCAGTTTGATCCCCGTCTGCCGGCCAGGGTCCCACATGGCGTGACAGAGCTCTCCTGCCGTGCCCGCTGCTTCCCTCAGCAGTGTACTTAGTCTGCCTGTTCTGTTCCCCACTCTGGCTCTGGTGAATTCTCTCATCCTCCCATGCTTCTGACTATACCCAGTGCTTGTATAAATAAATAAATAAATCTTTAAAAACAAATAAATAAATAAAATATAAATGTAGCCCTTTTTACTTTCCTATTGGTTTGTAGTCTACAATTATTCATAGAGAAATAAACCTATATCATGATTCCCAGGTAGAAAAGCAGAGCAGTGTAGAAGCAGACTCTGAGGACTGACAGACTGAGACCTAGCCTGGATAAGATAAATACCCTCACTGGGCTTTACTTTCCTTATCTGTGAAATGGGGATAATAACATACTGTTGTCATAGGGATTAAATGTTATTTTGGGTCAAAGTGCCTAGCATTGGCTAAATGAACTATGTATGTCAGCTAATAGTTGTAACAAGACTGCTCAAACCACAACCACTCCCAACAATCCTTATAAATTTAAATTGTAACTTTATCTGAAATTATCTGATAGTTTTCATAGACTATATACCTTGTCAATAATTCATATTCATGATACAAGGTTACAGATCTGTGGAAATCTATTTTGTGTATTATTTCATCCAGAAATAATTTCTAGCTATTTTGAAAAGAAATGGGTACTTACTCATGGTTTTTATGAAGTCTGCAGGATTAGAAGATCATATCAATAATGTTCTATCAATATCCTCACTTCATCATTACATACCTGATTCATCTTTCATTGGGCTGTAAACATTATTTCCACATTTGGACTCTGCAGAAATGGCACCATAAAAAGAACATAGACTTTGTTTCTCTTGAAGGCTGAATAATATTCCATTATATATACACCACATTTTCTTCATCTCTTCATCCGTTGATGGCCATTTAGGTTGTTTCCACATTTTGGCTATTGTGAATATTGCTGTAATGATCATAGCAGTGCTCCTATCTGTTAATATCTTAATTTTAGTTGCTTTGGATAAATACTCAGTAATGGATTAGCTAGATCATATAGGAGTTGTTTTTAATTTTCTGGAGAACCTCCATATTGTTTTCCATAGCAATTGGACCATTATACATTCCCACCAACATTATGCAAGGGTTCCAGTTTCTCCCCATCTTAGTCAACACTTGTTGTGTTTTATTTTTATGATAATAGCCATTCTGATATGTATGAGGTTATATCTCCTTGTATTTTAATTTGTATTTCTCCAATGATTAGTAATGTTCACCTTGTTTTCATATAGCTTTGGCTGTTTGTATGTCTTCTTTGTAGAAATGTTTGTTGATGTTCCTAGTTAGCCCCTTTAAAAACTTAAGTTCTTTGTCCATTTTTTAATAAGGTTATTAGAATTTTTTTCTATTTTGTCATAGGAGTTCATTATCATTTTGGATATTAGTCCCATGTCAGATATATAGTGTTTGTGTGTGTGTGTATATATATATATTTATAAATATAATATATTTATAAATATAATATATTTATAAATATATAAATATAAATATATATATATATAAATACTTTCTCCTGTCCTGTAGGTTGTCTTTTCACTCTGCTGATCATATCCTTCCCTGTGCTCTTTAGTTTGGTGTAGTCCAACTTATTTCTGTTTCCTATGCTCTTGGTGTCCTGTCCATGAAATAGTTGTCAATACCAATGTCATAAAGCTTTTCCCTTATGTTTTCTCCTAGGGAATTCACATTCTTAGCCCTTCCATTTAAGTCTTTTGAGTTAGTTTTTTGTGTATGGATCCAATTTCATTCTTTTGCATGTAGAGATTCAGTTTCTCCATCATCATTTTTTGGAGAGACTCCCTTTTCTCAATTGTGCATTTCTGGCACTCTTTTTAGAAATCTAAAAATCTAAATTGTGCATTTCTGGCACTCTTTTTAGCAATAATATATTTCTCACTTAAAAATGTTAAGATTGTAGATCTTATGTTAAGTGTTCTTACCACAATAAAATAAAATAAAAACTTCAAAAGGAACATGACTTAGACTTTGACCTCAATCCCATGTTCAAATCCCACAGTGCTACTCACTTTTGTTACTTGTACAAACCTCAATTTCCTCATCTATTAAGATTCCTTAAAATGTTATATATGGAGTTACCATCTGATCCAGCATTTCCACTCCTAGACATACATCTAAAAGAATTAAAAATATGTTTCAAACAAGTACATGTACACATATGTTCATAAATGTGCTCAAAATAGACAAAAGATAGAAACAAGCTGAATGTCTTTCAAAGATTGAATAGATAAACAAATTGTGGTCTCTTCATCACTGGAATATTATGCAACCCTAAAAAAGAAAGAAGTACTGATATGCTACAACATAAAGGAACCTTAAAAACATTATGCTAAGTGAAAGAAATTAACAAAAAAAACTTACATAAATCCCATTTGTATAAATTTCCAGAATAGTTAAATACATGGAGACTGAAAGCAGATTGGCAATTCCCAGGGTCTGACCAGAGGCAGAAATGGTAACAGTTGTTTAATGGGTACCCAGTTGTGTATCAAAAATGGGTACCTATTTTGAAATGACAAAAATGCTTTGGTTCTAGGTAAAAGGGATAATTGCACAACATTTGGAATGTACTAAAAGCCACTGAATTTTTCCTTTTAAATGGTTAATTTCATGTTATATATCAGAGAAAGAGAGTGAGAAGAAAGGAAGGAGGGAAAAAGAAAGGAAGGAATGTGAGGCAGTGTGGGGTGTAAAAGCACCCACATCACCTAGGAAATTGTCAGAAAGGCAAATTCTCAGCTCCCACCCCAAATCTACTGACTCTGTAACCTTAGGAAGGAGACTCTGCAATCTGTGTTTTAGTAAATTTTCTGAGTAGTTCTTGTGTATGCTCAAAGTTGATACCCAATTTTGATTAAATAATATAACTGAGTACATTGTGTGTAGTAAGTAGTAATTATTACAGCCTGGTTCATTGGTTCATTGAAGTGGAAGTAAGACTCTGTGACTTAGTGTACCAATGTGGCACATTTGAGACTGTAGTGAATAATGTATCTTCATTTCTATTGCTTGAAAGGTTCAGACTCCAGAGACAGATGGAGACAAACTGCATTTGGCGCCACCGCAGCCGGCCAAACAGTTTCTCATCTCACCTCCTGCATCTCCTCCTGTCGGCTGGCAGCCCATCAGTGATGCAACACCTGTCCTCAACTATGACCTCCTCTATGCCGTGGCCAAACTAGGACCAGGTAAGCTCAGTGGCCCTTTTTAAAAATGAGCATTTGTCAGCAACCTAGAAAAGCCAGATAAGATTAACAACCTTGAAATCCTGGCTTCATGGTAACATGTGTTTCTAATGGATTTATTGCTCTACGTGAACGATGAAAGGGATGATGAATGAGAATGCAGATTTTGTATCTGTTTGAAAGTAATTTAGGAACCAGCACTAAACTCGTGTCAGTCCATATGACTTCTGGATTGCAATGCAGCTATTTTAAGATTGCAAAGAGATAACCTAATTCTTAGGGGAGTTCTCTCTTACCCAAGAAACAGGCAAAATGTGCTTACTAGATGGCCTGGGGATTATGTGCTGTGCAACCCCCACCACATTTTACTGTTGCCACAGGTGTGACCTGGAACTTCCTGCTACAAGACAATCTACCTGCCAAAGGGGAGCCTCAAAGTCCCCCAGGAAGCTGTTCCAGTAGCATCTAACTTTAGAAAAAATCTATGATCACTTTGTGGTGATGTTGATATATATAGCTCAGATTCACTCATTTTCACTGCAGTAGAGTATTCCAATAGAAAATAATACCAATCCACTTTATTCATTCACTCTCCTATTGGTGGATATTAGGGCTTAAAGAGGCAAAGGGGAAAAGGAGGTTCTTTTTAGAGTTGTTTTACTTACCAACCATTTTAAAAATGCATGCCTTTTGCTTTAATGGTGCTGCTAACCTATGAGCCTCACTTCCCCTAACCAAATAGATACATTATCTATCATTTTTGAAGTATCCTGCCATGCAATAAGTACAGAGATAAGAACTACTGCTATCCCCATTTCATCAGTCAGATCACAGAGCTATAGAGAGGTGAATGAACTTGCTCACAGTGACCCAGCTGGTTGGTGGCACAACCAAACAGCAAGCCCTGGCTCTTCTGACACCACTACTTGGTCAGGCTCAACACCTTCTGCTAAGAGTCCCACTGCTTTGGTGGACTTCAGGCCTATCCTGTTGCAACATGGGCAAAATCATCATCCTAACCATGAATTGACAGTTATTTCTAACATCATGGTAGCCTCCAGAAAGCTTAAACCTGCATCTGGTGAGTATGCAAATGAAGGCCTGTGTGCTATATGTGCAAAAGCAAATATCTAGAGGCTCCCTTTTTAAGGGTGGCTGATATTGTGTACCATGGATCAGCTACAATTTGGATATATCTTCTGGGATAACTTTCTCTTCATGCCTTGCCAACAATGTGAGGCTTTTGCCCTTTATTTTTTTATTCATTTGTCCATTTCCTGTGTCCTTGGAACTTCTTTACCCCCACACAAATGAATGATTCATATCTAACAATTGAGCTGACCTATCATCAAGGTTATATTAGAAGCCTAGGGGTCTTGTGGCTGCTTTAGCTGCCCCAATGAGGGAGCAGGGCCACATCTGGTATCCACCCCGGACCCACCTCTGCCTTCCTTCTCAACAAGGTGCCAAAGCAAGGAGATGCCCCTTCAGTCTCCTCATGGCATTTTGCATAAATGCTTATTTCTTCTTATAGCAATTTTTTTTGTTCAACTTATATTTTCCCTTCTTTTTTGAGGAGATGATGTGTATTATTTCTTTATTTTGGTTTTACCAGCACCTAATATATTACCTTGTACATGGTAGATGCTTAACATTGAGTGAATGTATGCATGAATGACTACATAGATCAGAGCTATTAGCTGCTTAGAGATAAGTTCTTCACTGAAAAACTATTGCTTTCTTATAGTTTTAGCCAGATCGAGTCACGCGGCACTAAATTAATGTTTTCCTAATGATAGGACTAATACCATTTCCATTTAGGAAAAAAAAAAGATTTAGTAAAATTCATTTTTAATCCTTAGACAGGCTCATTTCAATAACAAATTATAACTCCTTCCATGTGAAAGGTTGAGTACCTCAGTTCCAGAAGTACAGAGACAGATTAGAATGAAAACAGAAAAAAGGGAAATCAAGTGATAAGAGGAATGGAGTCTCCTCAGAGGAGACCAACAGTGAAACAGTGAAGAATTGGTGAAGCCAAGTGACTGGGAAGAGATGCAGAAATCTAAAGAAGCTGAGGAAAAATAAGTCTAAAGAAAGAATGCCATGGCACAGGAATCCAGGGCAAGATGGTGCTCAGGTCAGGATCTCTTCAGCAAACCAGGCAGTTTGTGGGACCTTTAATATACCTATCTGGCCACAGAAGGTAAAAGCAGGAGAACTCTTTCATGCAGGACAAATGGGAGGGTGAGGACATAGGTCTTCCCACCCTCAGACATGCAGAGGCAGAACAGCATCCCTGTTCATTTAGAAGGGAATACCAGTGACCTGCTTCCAGAAAGGGACAACTTGTGCTCCCTAGAATGTCTAGAAGACTCTTAAAACAAGCAGGAAGAGGACAGTGCAATTACCAAGGAAGCACAATTAAATGCAGACCTGTGGTTTTTCTTTGAAATCCTTAGAAATCTTTCACAGGATGTTACAACATGAGACCAGGGCCACATAGCACTCAAGAAACTTCTCTGCTCTGTTTGTTATAGTGAAAACAAGTCTACATGCTGCCAAATATGAGAGGCATGATTTCAAGTATTCTTAATCAATGTCTCTATGACGGTACATTTTATTTTTGATCCAGAAAGTAAGATAGATAAATTGGGGGGTTGTGGGGGAAATATTAAATAGAAACAACGGCTAAAACTTCTATAAGGGCTTTCTTTGTGTCAGGCATTGTTTTAAGCCACCTTACTACATCTCATCTAATGCTCAGAGCAATTCTGTGAGAATGGCATTGCCATTCTCATCTATTCATCTGTGAGATATTAGGCACAGAATGGTTGAGTAACATGCCCAAGGCTGCATAGCTGATGGGTTAAAATATATACCTCTGCCACTGACAAGAAGCACAAAGGATTACTTGAGTCAACACTTTGCCCTGGGGTATAAAATTTTTGAGAAACCAGCCAAATCTTTTGAATGGTAAAAGTTAATTTCTCCAGAAGAAACCCAAGGCAGTTGTAAAAGAAAGTTTTAAACAGCTTATATATCTTTTTTCCTCCAGGTTTTGTGCCTCTGTTTATTGACATCCCTAAAACAGAATTTCATTTCTTTCCTCTAATGTCCAGTAGGAAGTGTGGGTCAGAATCTGCCTTCCTCTGGGCTTCTCTAGTGGCCTAGGGGTTAAGTCTCAGCGCTATCACCACTGTGGCCTGAGTTCCATCCCTGGCTAGGGAGCTGACCCACATATGACACAGCAGACCTCTCCTGTTTCACTCACCCGCTGCTCCCCTCAGCAGTGTATTTCAGTAAATCCATCTGTTGTGCTCCCCACTCTTTCTCTGGTGAATCCTCTCACCCCCGTACCTCTGGCCTACACCCCAGTTCTTCTATGCAAAAAATATAATATAAAATAAAATTATCCGCCTTCCTCTGCTCTATTGAAAAGACAGCGAATGTCTCTATGAGACAGGGGCTTTCTATATTCACATCAGCCCAGTGGTGAATTTAGAGAGACCCATCATATAGCAGTGACCTAGACAAACTAAGACGGGCTTTGACAAGATAGGAATAAATCAAATATTTATTTTGGCTTATTTTATACTGTCTGTTGTTCCTGACTCCAAAAAGGGTGTAGTGCTGTGTTCTTTTCTGACATGAAACAAAAATAGGACAAATAAAAACCCAGCCCAGCAAAACAGCTTGAGCTATGCCAATCAGCAAAAATGGCAAAATAGAGATGGGTGGTAAATCGGAGGTGGGATGTGAAATGCCAGCCTTTATCCTCCTCTCTAGATGGTTCTGGAAGGTCATGTTCATTGTCACTGAAATGCCTGCAGGGAGTGATATGAAAAGTCATTGTCTAGTCCTTTTTTTCTTCCTGCTATTTTTAGCTTTTGTTAGGGAGATCAATTTTAGTTAACTGCAGAGGAGGGCTTAAAATGGTACTCGAATTTCAAGTTGCCTACATTTGCTATATTTAGATATTTTTTCAAAATTCTTCTCCATCAAAACATGTCGTAGTAAAGCAATTTTGCTCTTTTGCTGCTGTATATACATTGTTCCCCCAAATGGAAAATATATTTCATTAATGTGTGTAACTTGTAAAGAAAAAACATTTTCTATTCCAGGCTCATTGATTCAAAGGTACAGAAGATGCCATTTTTAAAATATAGATAAACACCTTTATTTGTGGTACATGAGGTATGACTATTACATAAGCCTCAGCTCTTGTTCAACATTGCCATTTTCTGATCACAGATATGGAAAGCAAATAAGACAGCCAGTCTGTGATGTTCTAGTCTGTGTGGTTTCCTCATATCACACACACACCCCCACACACACCCACCTCCTGCAACAACCCCCCACACACACACACACACACACTTGAGAGACGTGGATTTGTGTTCCTGGATCATAGAACACATGCTCACAATTTTCTGTCGCCTTTTGAAGGCAGGAGAAAAAAATTAAAAGGGCTTTTTTGGTTATATATTCCATAATCTCATCAGTCATGACTGAACAGCAATATAAAACATTTCCTTTTCTTATTTCACAGGTAAAACATACACACTATAGAAGAATAGATCCTAAAAAAAAGAATAGATCATATGACCAAAATGTGTGTGTGTGTGTGTGTGTGTGTGTGTGTGTGTGTGTGTGTGTAAGCTATTTCCTTAGCCAGGATCCTTCTATCAGGAAAGGTAAAACAGCAGCAGGGTCTGTTCCCAAAGAGGAGAGCTCCAGGCCACCTCCACACAGCTCTTCTTCCTTCTGTCCCTCATTGCCTTCTGACCCCACCCCATAGGGTTCACAGAGGCCCTTTTCCCTTCCCCCTATTATTTTTTAAAATTTTTAAATTTTATATATTTTTTACATCACTGTCCCCCTAGTCTTATCTTCCCATCCCTTCTCCATGTTTGCCTCAGACTGTCTTGCCTTTGCCTTCCTTCTAAGGTTCTACTTCTTGCCCCAAGCACTAATTCAGGGCCTCAGCCATTCAGTTGGAG